AAACCAACATATAGAAATCAATAGATCCTTCGATCCAACTGCAATTGGGTTGGAAACAAAACCCAACGCTTGCTAGATTTGAAATCGAATCCAGCACCTGTAAGAATACGAGGATAACACAACAAATAACACAACAGATAACAAATCCATAAATAGATCAAACTCAACAGATCCATCGACCCAAAGACTGCTGAGTTTGAAACAGAACCCAACAAACAACAGATCGATAAATAAATGGAACTCAACAAATCCATGGATCCAACGGTTGCTGGGTTCAAAACGGAACCCAGTGCTTGTTGGGTTCGAAATCAAACCCAGCACCTGCAGGAACCCAACTTGAACACAGTGCTTGTTGGGTTCAAAATCGAACCCAGCACCTATGCCTTCTTCATCTTCATCCACCTGAAAAAACCCAACGACTGCCTTGCCTTCTTCATCTTCATCAATCAATTTCTCATATCATCAAACAACAAAACCCAAACAAAGAAAACAGAAATTCTTTTTTTTTTTTTTGGAACCCACGGTTGGGTCTTAAGGAACCCAGGCATGCTGGGCATCGAACCCAGCATACCTAGGTTCGACGGAACCCAGGCCGCGCCTGGGTTTCACCAAAGTCGAACCCAAGCAATGCCTGGGTTCCGCCGAAGTCGAACCCAGGCCACGCCTAGGTTCGAAGGGGGAAAGAGAAGGGGAAAGGGAAGGGGAAGGAGAAAGAGAAAAGGAAAGAAAAGGAAAAAGAAAAAAAAAATTAAGTTTTATTTTTCATAATATTTTTTTATATTATTATTTTTTCCATGTCATCACTTTTTTTGGTCTTATTGTCTTCCACATGTATTAATATTTGACATGTCATCCTTTTCATGTCAAGTAACAAGACACGTAGGCAGATATTTAACGGAAGGACCAAATCAGGGATTTTTTTAGTTTAGGGACCAAATCGGGGGTCCGTACAATAGTTCAAGAACCAAAATGGGGTTTTAACCTTAAAATTGTTTATAGAACTAAGAATAGAAATATTGATTGAAATTTCGAACTTTTACTAGTTGAAACATTTACTAAATGGATAAATACACAATAAGATTGTAGGAATTAACATTGTAAAAGCAATGTCAAATAGAAACTGTAATATCCCAAAATTTTCTGATATTTTAGCATTTAGTTTAGAACTTGATTGTGAGGAAATATTATTTTGGGACTTAATAGCCAAAATTGCTAAACTTGAGGGACTTAAAAGAGAAAAGGATTTGGATAAGGATCAGCTATTTTTTCTCCTTTTCCTCTTTCTTCTTCAGCCCGATTCTGCTCTTGTTCTTCATCCCTTGCAGCTCCCAAAAGCCCCCAAGTTGCCAACTTCCATTCTTGAAAAAAAAAAAAGTGGGAAAAACCTGGAATTTTTTTTTCTCTCTTCTTTTCTTGCCCAATAACAAGCTTTAGGACTTAGAACTCTCTCTCTCAACCCAAAAATTCCAGATCTGCTCTGCTTTTCCTCCCTTCTGCCGCCGATTGGTATTGGGTGTGAATCTCGGTTTTTCCTAGTAAAAATCAGCCATGAATTTTATCTTTTTAGCTTTGAATTGGCTTGGGTTTACCTTAATTTCTCTTGGTTTCTCCAATTTTGGTATATTTCCCAAAATTCCCCTGCACTTCCGTCGGCCCTCCCCCAAACCCGCCAGCTCCAGCCTTGCTTGCTGAAATTGTGGCATGTGGCAGCTTCTCTAAGTCCAAAATTTACCCATTTAACTGCTGAAATTTAGCCATCTAATTGTTGCCTATGTGTCCGAATTTTCTGCTGGAAATGGGGGAGAAATTTGACAATAATTAGACCATGATTTAGCTTAATTCATGTAGAAAATTAGCTTATTTTGGCTGCTGTGATTTTTGGAGAAAATCCCGTGAATTAGCCATTGTTTTGCCAATTTATGGAAGTGCAGTTACTGTTCATGGCGTGATCATTGTTTACAGGCACTGTTCACGCACTGATGGCCAACAATTAACGGGGATTAAATGTTTAATTTGTAATATAAGAACAAATTTGGAGATGTCCGATCATGTGGAGACTAATAGAAATAGCATCTAATTAGAGGTGATCCTAATGAAGTTTTCACTTTGAATTTGTGGTAGTGCGGTATTAATTTTGGAATATTTTGATTAGGTTCTTGATCATTGGTTGCCCTAGCACTTAGATTGAGTCCTCGGTTTATGGAGTGAATTTTCTATGTTATGCGAGTGAGGTAAGTAAATTATGGTAACGCCCTTCGATTTCAAAGCATATTTTAAATTGTTTTTGAGATGGTAGCAAGGTTTAAATTGATTTTATTAGCACCGAGCATGATTAGTTTGAAATGAAATTGTTTTCATTTGCATTGAGTAAAGCATGCCTACTTGGAATTTATTGAACTGCCTTGATGAACTGAGAATTTTGTAAATTATGAGTTTTTCTGTTAAATCCATGCTCACACAAAAATTTTCCGATTTATTTCTGAAGTTTGAGATTGATTGTGAATTACGGATTTTTCTGTAAATCCTGCATGATTTTGTTTCTGATATGGTCATATTTTACTGTGCTCGCTAGTGGGAGGTTTATAAACGCTAGCACATGTCAACATGTTTGCTGATAAGATTGGTTCATTCTGAAATCCTGCCAATGGGATAAAACATTGGTTACTACTGTACCCGCCAGTGGGAGGTTTATAAACGCTGGCCATGACCTGTAGATGAGACTACTACTGAGTTTTCTTCTGCATTAATGGTTTGTCATTGAATGTTTGTTTATTGAACTGAATCTGATTCTGCATTAATGGTTTGTCATTGAACGCTTTGCTATTGAACTGAATTTGATTTTGTATTAACGATTTATCATTGAACGTTTTGTCATGTTAAACTATTTATCTGGCATGCTTAAAATTTTATCCACGGGCTATCCATATATCTACTTACTGAAATATTTTATCTCACCTAGTTTTCCTTGTCCACAATTTCAAGAAGCGAAGTCAAGGACGGAGAAAAACGAGGGGAGTGACGAGTTAGAAGACTAGCCATCTTGTAAATTGAACATGAATTTTAGATATAAATCATGATCTTGTAAGCTAGAGTGTATTGGAGATTTTATGATATCAAAGCAAATTTTAAAATTTTATCTTCAGATTTTGTGGTCTTTAATTGTAGTATGATAAGTTTCAAGCCTTGTGCATTTGTGGGACCCTCTTACAAGTGTACGGCGTCTGCTACGTCCCCAGATTTGGGTTCTAAGGCGTGACAGAAACTATGTACAAAAGTTTTAAAAAATAATAAAAAGGGAAAAGATATTATGATGTAGAGCAATAAGTTTAGAAGAATTAATAATGAATTTAAGGATTAAAGCTCTTGTGATAAAGAAATATGAGGGAAGAATAAAAGGAAAAAGATCAAGAACTCTTCATAAACCAATAAAAATGTAGTTCTTTAAACCATTAAATATTTTTATAAACTCTATCATAATGAATTGCTACTTATAATAGATATTTATAAGCAGTAATTAGAGTTTTTAAGATTTGATAATTGAATCAAATCTTATTTAATAAAGACAAATAACTATAATGAAAGACTTTCATAATTAAACTGATTCTAAAGTAAAGGGCACTTTCATTTAGATCAAAAAGGATTATTTTGGTAGTTTTCATTCTAGGTTCCCAAAGAGGATAATTCTTCTCTAACAAAGCTAGTGGTACTGCATCAATTCTCCTAGCACACAATCCTCCCCATCAATGCATTTCAAAAGAAGTGAGTCAACTACCTTTTTAATTTTTATTAGTTTGAAATCCTGGGTAGAAATTTACGCTATTTAAGGTTTTCATGATTGAAAGAATAGGTATATTGTAACCATAATGCTTCACTTTCTTGTCATATAGCCATGGACACCCTAACAAGATATGACAAACATTCATAGGCTACATGTCACACTGAACTTAATCAATAAATATCACAATAAAATAAGTCTATAGACATGTGTCATGAACTTTAAGTGCACTATTGTTTACCCATGCCAACTTGTATGGATTTGGATATGGAGTAGTGTTTAGCTTAAGCTTTTAAACAATATCTTCTTAAACAACATTAGAGTAATTTCGCATGTGAATAAACAAGTTGTACAACTATTCGTTACATTTAACATCAGTTTGAAAGATAATTGTCTTTTCCCAATTAGGCCTTTCTTTAGTCTCATGCTTCTTATGTGAAGCAAGAACTTATCTGTCACGCCCTAGAACCCAAATCTGAGAATGTAGCAGACGCCGTGCACTCATGAAAGGGTCCCACAAATGCACAAAGCTCGAAACTTATCCAATTCACATATGACAATCCAATAACTTAAATAAGATATTTCAAAATAATTCTATGTCCAACATGACTTAAGCTCAAAAATCTCAATGTCAAATCTCTTGTAAACTAACAATCTATTCAATGAATTTATAAAATCTTCAATTAAAATCTAGCTTACAAGATCATGATCTATATCTAAAATCTATATCAAATTTACAGGATGGCTAGCCTTCTAACTCATCATTTCCCTCGTTTTTCCCCATCCTTGACTTCGTTTCTTGAAATGGTGGACAAAGAAAAATTATGAGATAACTCAGTAAGTAAATATGGATGGCCCTTAATTAAACTTATAGCATGCCAACAACTATAATCATGAAAAACAGATATGGGTACGAAAACGAAATAGACGTTTCCTCTATAGGTCATGGCCAGTGTTATAAACCTCCTACTGACAGGCACACGATTTACTAGTGTATAATCCCACTAGCAAGATAATAAAAACGAACCGGTTCTATTAGTAACATGTCAACATGTGCTAGCGTTTATAAACCTCCCACTAGCGGGCACACGAATAACATGACCATATCGGAGACAAAACAGGCAGAATTTAACAGAAACTCATACTTTACATAATATTTCCAGATCATTAGGGCGGTTAAATAAACTCCAAACACGAATGCTCAAAACAATAAAAAGAATAATAATCTTATTTCAAATCAATCATACTCATTTTGTATAAAACGGGTTTAATCCCGTCACCACTTCAAAAACAAGTTAAATATACTTTTAAAATCGAAGGGCGTTACCATAATTTACTTACTTCAATCGCATAAAACCAAAGACTCGATCTCAGTGCTAAATTGACAGAACAATCAGGAACCTAATCAAAATATCCAAGAATTCATTCTATACTATCACAAATTCAAAGTGAAACTTCATTAAGATCACCCCTAATCACGATGCTATTTCTATTAGTTTCCACATGACCGGATATCTCCAAATTTGTTTTTATATTACAAACTAAACATTTAATCCCCTTTAATTGTTGGACATTACCCATGAACAGTATCATGAACAGTACTCACGCCGTAAACAGTACTGCATCTTCAAAAAATTGGCCAAAACACTAGCTAATTCACGGGATTTTCTCTAGACAATTTCACAACAATTACTCAAGCTAATTTCCACTTAATTTAAACAAAACCCACTTAAAGTTACTGAAATTTCCCCATTTTTCCAGCAAAATTCGGACAACACAGAGCAGCCACAACAAAGACCAAATTCAGCAAAGGCAACAACCAGTTGGATAAAATTCGGACTCAAGGGAGGTTGTCAACTTACCCACAATTTTCCAGCTGCAGAACCGAACCTGGCAGGGGGAGAAGCCGGCGGCAATCTGCAGGGGAACTCACGGAATTAACCCAAAATTGGAAAACCAAGAGAAATTAAGGTAAACCCAAGCCAATTAAAGCTGGAGAAGGGAGATTCATGACTGTTCTTACCGAAACATATGCCCAGAAATAACACATAGCAGAAGCCAACGGACAGCAAGGGGAAAGGAAACAGTGCAGATCTGGAAATTCTGCAGAGGGGGGGGGGGA